TTAAGAAATTTCTACATGTGATCCCTCTGATCATCTATCCTGTAAACAGTATTGCTGTCATTGTTTATTTGGCAAAGCAGAATCCAAATAAGCTCGTGGAAGGTTCCATTTTAGTAGACGTATCCTAATTTGGAAGAAGTAAACACTACTGATCTTTTGGAAGGGGTATGCTGATTTTTCCACTTTTTGGCTAAAATTTCTAAAAAAATTTCAAAACCGTAAAAATATGGTAAAAGAAATATATGATGTTTGTTGGAAACAGGTACTCTAAATTCTCTAAGAAGTGTGTTAAAGAAACTCATTTGTTGTTTCTCTTTTCTTTGTTGCCTCTCAGTTACTTCATCAATGAAAAGACCTCTACTCCAGGCTCTTATCACCAAAATTTTGTATACAAGAGCACCACCTTTTTGCCAGTTATCTTGTATTCTAACGCTTTTGGCTTGCATATTGAATATGCCAAAAGAGTCTCTCAAGACAAAGGTTGACTTTTGCAAGAACTGCTCGATAGTCATATCAACTACTTCAACAAAATTTTTGTTTCTGTTCAGTAAGAAAATTTGATACAAGTGATCATCGAAGAGAGTTCTGATATTTGCCTGATAATTTGAATTGTGTAAAACAATTATTTTTACTAATTTTTTTAACTCAGGTCTCTTTGATCATAATTTCTGGTTAATCTTAAGTAAAGAAAAATTAAAGAAAAAAACTTTTTAATTAAACAAAATTTGGCCATAGTTTGAGGTCCCTAGGTAGAAAGTGTGAAGATAGTTTTGAATCATTCAAATCAAGTTTAAAAAAAAAAAAAATTTAATCATATATTTTTAGTTAATTAAACTATGTTCTAGATTTGATATTGCAATATAAAAAAGTTTCTTCTATACTCTATATATTTGTTTATTTATAATGCATTTCATTTGATATATCTTATTTGACGCATCTTATTTGATAAATATAATTATTTATTAACTTACCTTATTTAATATCTAATTGGGAAATGTATGAAGTTCAATATTTATCATATAAATCTTACTATAAGCCAATCTCAGTATAAGCTGCTACAATAATTATTTTATTTACAATTTTGTCAGTATATAAGGTAAGTATTTTGTTAATAAAATAATTATTAAGGTAACTTTTAAGATCTACATAAAACAAATCAAAAAAATTTTAATTTTTAATATTTGCTATAGGTATATATATCTAACCAACTGATATTAAATTCAGAACTTATATATATATAACTGTAATGTTTAAAAATTGAGATTTCAATAAGTGTATGTTATATATATTAATAAATTTTAAAAATTTAGTATGTTAGGCTATATAAATTTAATTTTTTGGTTTTCATAATCTGGTTAGATTATATTTTAAAATTTTTTTGAAAAAAATTTTTTATATGTTTTAATAGGCAGGTGAGATTTTAATATAAAATTTTTAAATAAAAGTCTAGGCAAGCAGGTTATTTTTTTTGTTCCATGTTATATAACCAAAAAATTAACTTTGTATAGCCTTATATAGCAATCAACTTAATTACTTTATTTATCTTATAAATATGTCATTTAGAAGTATATAGCAACATGTATACAGTTGTTCAAAATCGACTATGTATAGTAGTTAGTTTTTATAAATAAAATGTTTGATTTCAAATAAATTGTATATCTCAGTCTATATTATAAATGAGAGGAGTTAGTAGAAATGTAACAAATTTATCTAATAAATTTGTCCTATTTCTACTAACTCAACTCAAATATTAATTGACTATATAGTTGATTATTCAATTTTATTACTATGATTCATATTATTATAAATTCAGTGATGCACATATTTTTGATTATGTGAAATAATAGTTTGTATTACTGATAATAATTACTGCTAGCAGCAAATAGCAAAATTCAAAAATTTATAATAAAATTAATTTATAGATTAATATAAATTAGCCAATTAAATTTGGCAAGTTTGTATAACCCCAAAAATTTGAGCCAACCCAAAAAACTTTGTGATATATAAGTATATTTTTTTAAAATAATACAATAGTTCAAAATTTTACTATAATAGATTAAAATTTTGGCTTAAATTAAGGCTATATAAAATTAATTTTTTGGTTCTTATAATATAAAATTTTAGAAATAACCTGGCAACCCAGCTTTTAATTTTATTTTCAAAAAATTATATATATAAAAACATATAAAATATTTTTTGCAAAATTTAAAAAAGCTTTAAAATTTTGTTGAATTTGATCTGGCCGGGTTATAAAAACTAATTAATTAAATTTGTATAGCCTAATTACAGTTATAAAAAATTTTATTAGCACACATTATCAATTTCTATATAAATCTTATTGTACCACCATAATCATATAACAAAATAATCTACACACTTCTACCCTTAATATCTGGCTATGATTTTCTTAACAACAAATTAGCTAAAATTTTTATAGTAGATAGAAGTGATTTTGAACTACACTATACTAAAATTTCATACAATTTAGATTAGCAGTTCTTGAAAATTACTTAAAAATAATTGGTTTTTTAGTAATTTTTCAAGAACTACTAATCCAAATTGCATAAAAATTTTAGCTAATTTAGATTAGTAATTGCTAAGAAAATCATAGCCAAATATTAAAATGAACCTGAACATGTTCATAAACTTTTAAACTAAACTTGAACTAAACCTGAATCAATAAACTGAAGCTGTATTTTAAAAATGTTCAAATTCAGGCTTAGTTCAAAATTGAACTAAACTTGAGCACTAACTACAGTATTTTACAACAATAAAAATATAACTAGCTACACATACGCATTTAAATTAATTATTAATTACCTGGTTTAATCAGGTAAAAAAAAAATCAAATTATTATTGATAATAGCATAACTATAAAAAAAATTGCAAAAATTGTACATACAAATTCTTTTATATAAGTTGACTTGCAAGTGTTCAAATTTGCACTCTACATTTGTTTATTATCAATTTTGCATATACAACCGAGGCTGACTTACCTGTGCTGATTTATAGTACATCAGATCAATATAACCGATATACCGCTTACTATAAAATTAATGATAGTATCTAGTAAAAAAATTTACTATAATGGTAAAATAAATTGAAAAAGTATTTACTCTCCAAAACCACCGACAAAATAAATATCAATCACTTTTAATCGATAAAAGTTAAATTCATGCCCTCTGCCGGGGATCCTAAAATAAAGTAAGTATGTGCGTATCATGTGATATAGAATAACAATTGATAACATACCAACTACGCGCTCGTGGATGCTTTTTCAAGAAGCATTTCTTTACTGCTGGGATCTAAATTTGTCAATAGTAGTCAATAACAATTACTTGTCAAACGAATAATTTCTGAAGGATAATATTGAAAAATACCTCATCTTTTTCAATTTTCACTAATTTACCAAACAAATTTAATCTTGGTTCAGCCATTGGAAAGTAGGTTTCATTTTTACTGAACTTTTGGATCATCAATGATACTTTAAAATCATTTTCGCGAGCATTTTTGACATTCAACTTGAAAAAAATAATTTGTTACAAATCTGCTATAATCTGCATAACTGTTTAAATAATATAACAGCAATAATACCTGATAATCAGACAAAAGCATCAAAGGATTACCGGATGAAGGGCAGTCATCAGAATAATAGTCAAATAGACCAAATGGATACCCTTTTAACACGATATTTTATAAGTTAAACTTACGCTTATCGTGATCAGGTAATTGGATACAAGTAATACCTTGTAACTCTTCCTTTGCAAATTTGTTCATTACAGTTACTAAAGTTCCAGTTCCAGTATCAAACACTAAAGACCGCGCGACTATAGCAGCCTCTTGTTCGGTTTGTTTTTCATGAGCATTACAAACATTTGTATCGGTATTGTACAAAATAAGAGTAAGAAAGAAAATATAGCATTTAATTTGCAAAAGCAAGCTGAGCATATTAGAAGCTTGTTGAAAAAACTAAAGGTTTGAACTTGAAAAGGTGACGTTAAGTCATATATTTATAAATAGAATTATATCTGGTCTAGTGTTTGTAGTCGACCCAGGGACCCGTAAAATTTTAAGCAGTAAACTATAATGTGCTTATCCCTAGTTATACGTATTTTATTTTTAATAAAAATTTTATTTATTTAACTTCTAAGGTATACAGTATATGATTAGTTTGTATTGGATATTGATGCCGTGATCTAGAGACATAAATTTATGTGCCTATTAATAACAATCGGCAAATGAACTATAAAAATTTTCTAAATTTATCTAAAATTTGCTAAATTTAAGCTAAAATTTGCCTTATCAGAAATTTTGAGTTTTTAAAACTAAAATTTTACGGGTCCCTGCTTAGTTCCTAATTTTATATTTAATAATTAAGTATATATCCCATTTTGAGATAATTGAGTTTAATCACTTGTTTTGTTAAAAATAGCATGTGATTAACGGGCAATCTCGTGATACACTTGCTACGTGTAAATTTTCTTTTGCATTATCTCGA